TTGGTTGAAGTTAGAAAGGTTAAGTAGAATTTTTGGGAGTGTATTGTTTTTGGCAAGTTTAGTAGTTGTTTGCTGGAGTTTTACTCCAAATATTGGTGACTTGAGAAAGAGATAAATGGCAGCCAAATTCGGATTGAGTATGCATGCAATATGTTTGATGAAAAGCCTAAGTGAAAACTCCCTATCACTCTGTGACCTTCTGATGATTTTTGGGTATCTTAGAGATTGACTGGGTTGAGACCAAACAAAAAAGTTATAGCCCTGTCTCTAAGCTTTAAAATGACACAAAAATCGTAGCAATCCGTGTGTAAATCAAGTTATGCCTACTTGAATAAGACCTGTGCGAATGACTATCTTTGAGACAACATTGCATTTGTGCATTTCATAAGTGCATTTAAGTAAGAAATTTTACATGTGCCACCATATGTATATAATTGTGTATTTGTAGAACATAAGAAAGAAGAATAAAGAAAATAAAGAATAATAAAGAAAGAAGAATAAAACACACTCTAAGAATAAAAGAAAGGAAGATAAGCATTAAAGAATTAAAGAGTGTTAAAGAAAGTAAAGAATAGGTTGGTGTGATGGGGAACCGTGTGTTAAGAAGAATTCCATATACAGCACCTTAATTGTGGCATAAAAAAGAAGAAGAATTGTAGACCCGTAGATGTATGTGGATGAGGGTTGTACCAAAAATTCCTACATGCACGTCACCTTAATTGAGTGGCCTAAGAAAAAGAAGAATTTTATGGTCCGTAGAGTGCATGTATGAGGACTGTCCTCACTCACATGGCCAAGGTTCTGAATCCATACATCAACAGTCCGATCAGCAAGAATAAGAAAGAGATAAGAAAAGAAAAGAAGAAAGAAATAGAACAAGAAAATAGAGATGAAGAAAAAGCATTTTTGTGCATTATTGCATATGCATTTTTCATTTACATTGCCATGAATTTCAACATGGTTAGGAAGAATAGAAGAATAAGAAAGAAAGAATAGAGAGAAGTAGAAAGAAAGAAAAAACTGAGAGTAAGAAACAGAGAAGAAAAAGAAAAAAGAGTAGAGTAAGGAAGAATTAAAGAGTGATGCACGGGGATAGCAGAGTAGAGGATTTACTTACTGAGCATTTTTGTGCTCACCCCGTTGCTTTCTATGTTTTTGCAGGAAATAGGTGAGGATGCGGTCGGATGGACATCGGCAAGCGGGAGACATGGCTACACCTATCCACCATTTTGATAGTTTTTGTATATTTTATTTTTGTACTGTGTAAAGAATGTATATATTCGTAAGAAAAAAAAAAAAAAAACTTGGGCCCAACTACTTTTTAGTCTATATATATGTATTTTTATTAAGTATCTTTTGTGAGCATATTAGTAGAAAGAAGTAATTACAGTTACCAAGAGTTAGGGCAAGAGGAGTTTTGTAGAGTGGAGGCTGGTGGATTCAATGGTGGTGACCGATTGAATATTCGTTGTCAGAATCAGCCGAAATCAACTAAGAACAGGAAACTGTAGCCTTACAAAGGCCGACAATTGATAAGAAATCAGGTGCCGGAGTGAGATAGGTTTTGTAGAGAGGAGACTAGAGGTTTAAATAGTGGTGACGGAGAGAATTTTCACAGCCAGAATCAGCTTTGGATAGTAATGGAGTATTAACTTTGGGTGGAAAGTGATATTTTGAAACTTTTAGGGTGAAAATTTGTCATTAATGCAAACCTTGTGTGGGAAAAAGTTTTTACTCTTATATAAACACTTGCTCAACTGCATAAATAAATTATGAAGTACAAGAAAAACATGAGAGTAGACAACTTTTTCCCACCCAAGGTTTGCCTTAATGACAATTTCCCACCCAAAAAGTTTCAAAACATTACTTTCTCACCCAAAATTTATATTTTGTTAATACCTAAAATATACTTCACTTTCTCAGTCGGCATTTAGCGAGTTACCAGGAGCCAGGGTAAGAGGAGTTTTATAGAGTAAAAGCTGGTGGATTGAATGATGGTGACCGATTAAATATTTGCCATCGAAATTAGTAAAAAATAAGCTAAGAACAGAACCCTAGATTTGCGATCATCAGCAATCGACGAGAAATCAAGTGCTCAAATGAGAGGGGTTTTGCAGAGAGGAGACCGAAGGTTCAAATGGTGGTGACAAAGATAATTTTTGTTGTCGGAATCGGTTTTGGGTAACAATGGAATATTAACTTTGGGTGGGAAATGTCATTAAGGCAAACCTTGGGTGGGAAGAAAGCGTTTACTCAAAAAACAAATAAATAACACCATTTACATTTCTTTTGGTTTTGGTTTTGGATTTGGGAAGGGCATGGTTTTGCTTGCCTTGTTGGCTTCAACTTCCCAAAACTTGCTTGCNTACTGGGGCTACGGACGTTTCTAGAATAACCACCATATGGGCTCATAGGGTTCTCACCATCAAGATTTGAAACACTTGATACCCTCGTCATGGTTCTACCATTCTAAGGACATATATCAATACATATTACAATAATAATGATTTACGCGATATAGAATAAAATGCCTTTATTGATTAATGAACATTATTACAAAGAGTCAATTCTACAATAATTGATTGGCTCTAGGGCATCTACTCTAACAGCATCTCATCTGCTACCTGCAAAAATAGTGAAATTAACGAGGTGAGCACTAATTGCTCTGTAAGTAAACCCATAGTATTTCTATTCTTTCTCTGTTACTCAGATCTTGGATTTTCTTTCCTTACACCAAACTTCTCAATTCTTCTCTGCTCTTTCTAAGATTCTAGTTTCTCCTCTATTGATATGTAAGCACAAATAGGGAAACTAACTCGGGATAGTAGAAATGGCATGATGCATATGCACAGATGCATAAACTTTTCTATGTAATGCATTTTCTTTTCTATTTTTCTATTTTCTTTCTTTTTATGTTTCTCTTCTCTTCTATTCTTTCTTTCTTTTCTTTTCTATTCTTTCTTTCTTTCTTTATGTTCTTTCTTTCTTTCTTTTCTATTCTTTCTTTGCCGATCGGACTCGGTTGAGGCATAGATTCGGAACCTTGGCCGTGTGAGTGTATTCTCAAATTCTTTTTTGGGTGCAGTCCTCATCCACATGCAATTCTTATGGACTGTACAAACTCTTCTTTCTTATTCTGAGGCCGCTCACTAAAGGCGGCGTACATGCAGGGTTATTCTTCTCTGTCATTCACGGGCTCCCCATCGCAACAACCTTCTATTCTCTTATCTTTTTATATTTCTTTAAGTAAAATTTCAGATTTGTATTGTTCTTTAATTATATTTCTTAAAACAATAATTCTACATTTAATTGTTTTTCTTTCTTTCTCTTTATTCTTTAATGTTCTCATACATGTATATGTGCATGTAAATATGATCATTCTTTGCTATTCTTTATAAATGCAAAAGCTCAAATGTATGAATGCATTATGGCATATTAAGATATCATTATAGAACTAATATTCTCTACCAACAACATTTCCATAACAAGATAATAATCTAACATACTCATTTACACACTTCACTTTGAAATTTCATCAAACACCTTACATGCACATACAAACCCTAAAATTGGTTACACTTCCACATATTTCTTAGGTCACCAAAATTGGAGCAAACAACTCTCTAAAGCCAACAATCAACCTAGCCAAATTTCATCCTCTACCTTTCCACATCCATTCTTTCATTTTTCATCCAAAATCCCATCAACTCAACACATACAAATACATCACTTCTCATCACATACCAATAAATCAATTCTCATCGCATATAATAAATTTCTTCTCATCACATATAATAAATTACTTCTCATGGCCATGACATTCACATATCAAACAACCTCAATTTTCAATCTATAATTCTCATCATCCAAACAAACATACAACATATAAAAAATTTCTCTACACAAGTATTTATCCAATCAAATCTAAAGTTTGATTTATTTACCTTGAATCTGAGCAACTCTAACTCCAACACTATAATCTCTCTTTCGTAGAATTCCCTTTCCTCTTAAACCCTAAGCATATAAAACCATAAGAATTCAAAACTTTAAAATTTAATCTCACATCTTGGTGCAAGAATCTTACCTTTGGATGCTTAGGATTGAAAATCTATCAAAATTGAACTAAAATCCTATGAATTTCCTTGAAAATTGAGTGAAGAAATTTGAGAGAATTTAGGGTGAAGGTGGCGTGAACTATAGGTAGAGTGGCTAGGGTTTCTCTTCTTGAACTCTTATTACATAATAATATATATATATATATATATATATATATAGTCTCCTATTTTACCCTTGCACTTTCTAAAAATTTCATCTATGTCCCTTAGTCAATTACAAAAATGCCCTCATTTTTATTAACTTCTCCATGTTATTTTACTTCTTTTCACTCCCCACTTTTTCAACTAATTATGCGTGAAAAGACCATTTTACCCCTAATAAAGGTTTAAGGAATTTTCTTCACATTTGTTCAAGATAACTTTAACAAAATTCAACTAAGGGTACTAGAACATAAATAAAGCTATGTACCTTGATGTAGACGTTACATGAACACCGTACAAACTCAAAGGATTAAGTAAATTAGAAAGTGATAGGTGGCCCCAAAGTTTGAACCCAAGACTCAATCAAAGAAAAAAAAAATTATATATTATACTTCTTAATTGTATTATGCTCTTGAGTTAATTATTTGTAAGCATTTTTTTTAGCTTTATTTTATTTTAACTTTCAATTTGAATATTCAAATTTTTGTTTTAGAAATAATGATAGGAGGAGTATATACGACAAGTGAAAGAAATGAAGGGCTTTTATAAATATTATGGGATGCCATAAAAAAAGAAAATTAATTACAAAATTTTCAAACGGGGTGTTTTAAGAAATATAGTGCCTTTAATCAATTAATAGGGCCAATGGGTCTACCGATAAAACAAAGGGGCTACTTAGCAGTACTACAATAATCTCGTGATAATAAACAAACACGCAGCCCAATAGTACAGGCCCATGAGCCGAGTACACTAACTATAAAATGCCGCAATCCAAAACCCTAATGTTTTCAGTCGCACACGAACTCATACAACCGCTCTTGACTGCATCACACTGATACCAACACCTAGAAGTATTGAATTGATGCAATATGAAGGTTCCTATCGCACTTCAACTCAACCTCTGTTCACCATTCCAATCTCTACTATTGTTTTTTGCTTTTTTTTCAAAATTTAATTTGTTTAACTTTCAAAATTGTCTCTAATCTTTGCAGTTTAACATTGCAAACCCCACCACTGGCTGCCAGAAGAAGCTCGAGATTGATGACGATCAGAAGCTGTGAGTTTCATTTTCCCATCTTTTTCGTTTTTATCTTTTTTATTTTTATGTGTAGTGCCTTGTTTGGGTTTTCGAGTAGAAAAAAAAGGTCGTAAACTATAATGATGATTGAATCCCCATTTGTACACTAAATAGTTTGATTAAGCGCAAACGCGCTAGTTCTTGTTTATTCAATTGCCGAAAACTGATAAAGTCTTGTAGTTTAAGGTCATCTGCTTGACTATAGTTTTTTTTTTTTTCCGACATATTGAGCCTATATCTATTTTATAAAATTAGCTTTCATCAATTAGTTTAAGATTTTATATGTCATGTTGTCTGTACTGTTATTAATGGATTGGTGATGAGGTCCTATGGATATTCTAGTAATTAGTTGACAGACTTAACAAATGATATGTTGAGTAATTGATTTGGATAACATTGATACTGATATTAATTATTTGAAATTTTGATATGTAGCCGAGCTTTTTTCGACAAGAGGATCTCACAGGAGGTCAGTGGAGATGCCCTGGGGGAGGTATGCACTAGCTGTTGTTCCTTCAGCTGCTTAAAATCTTGACAATATATTAATAATGGATGTTTTCACCTTACTAACTTCTTGTTTGACAGGAATTCAAGGGCTATGTTTTCAAAATCATGGGTGGCTGTGATAAACAAGGCTTCCCAATGAAGCAGGGAGTGCTGACTCCTGGTCGTGTTAGGCTCTTGCTTCAGAGAGGTGAGTAGACTGGGGAATGTATTGTTTCGTAGGAGTTGAATTGATCTAATGTTGGCTGAGCTTGTCAAATTCTATTGAGCATTTAAATCCTAATATGATATTAGATCATTTGTTGTCATTGTTTTCATTACACTAAAATTATTGCAACTTAATTTCCTTGATACAGCTTCTAGAATTCTTCTCTCTTTTCTGCATTATTTGTTAACTTTCTTTTACTAATGCTAGGCTAGCCATTCAAGTTTAATATATTAACCATTTGTTTCAGGTTTGAAAAAATATTTTTGAATATGTGATAACTTTATTTCTATGGCCTGATTATTTTCTGTTGTGCTACAGGAATGAATATGCTTGAACTCCTTTGTCATAGTCCTATTACATCCTTAAATTCTTGCAGTCTAGTTTGGCTATGAGTATTTTGCTCTGTTTCTTTGGTTTGAAATGGAGCTGTTGCTTGAACGAACTGATTTACCTGCTTCAATTTGAACAGGAACCCCATGCTTTAGAGGGTATGGAAGGCGTAATGGAGAGCGTAGGAGGAAATCTGTCCGTGGATGCATCGTTAGTCAAGATCTCTCTGTTTTGAACTTGGTTATTGTTAAGAAGGGTGAGAATGATCTACCTGGATTAACAGATAGTGAAAAGCCAAGGATGAGGGGTCCAAAGAGGGCATCCAAGATTCGTAAACTTTTCAACCTCTCTAAGGAGGATGATGTCCGCAAGTATGTGAATACCTACCGAAGAACCTTCACAACAAAAACTGGTAAGGTTTACTCTCTCTCTCTCTCTCTCTTTTTTTTTTTTTAAATAAACTCGTTTTGTCAAATTTCTTCAATCTTGGGTTTGAAGTATAGATTGGAAAATTGAGAGCACTATAACGGATTAGATAAATAGATTCTAGATGGAGTGGCTGTTAGTTTCTTTACCTTGAAATCAACTCTTCTTGAATAAAAAAATATTTCAGTAATAATGGTAACCTACATTGCCTTTGAATTATTTGAACTGTCGAGAGTGATGGTTAGCTTCTTGTCAAATTTGAGGTGCTATAGTTTTTGTTTTCTTTTTTTTTTTTAATGAGAAATAGTATTGGCCATGCAATGACTTGGTATGGTAACTATTTTCATATAATATTTTGGGTGAAAGCTGCGGAGCCCAGTTTTGGGAGTGGTTGAAGTGATATGGTCTCTAACTTGGATGGATATATTCGTTTGTTTGGTTCGGCAGGGAAGAAAGTTAGCAAAGCTCCAAAGATACAGAGGCTTGTTACTCCGTTGACACTCCAGAGGAAACGTGCTAGAATTTCTGTGAAGAAGAAGAGAATAGCTAAGTCTAAGGCTGATGCAGCTGAGTATCAAAGACTTCTGGCCACCAGGTTGAAGGAGCAGCGGGAGCGTCGTAGTGAGAGCTTGGCAAAAAGAAGATCCAAGCTTTCTGCTGCTTCAAAGCCATCCGTTGCTGCATGAACTGGTTTTCTACTTTTGGTGATCCATTATGTCACCACTCAGTTTTTGGTAGTTTATCAGTTTGATCTTGAAAGTATTTTGGCAAATGTGGATGTTTTATGTTTCAGAAGTTAAAACGTTGGATCAAATATTTTGTGCATGCTATCGAGTTACGGTCTAGTGTATCACTTTTTTGTTTTAGAGTTAGGGTTCGCGAATGCTGTTTAGGTCTACAAAACTGGTGTTTCTGTTGTCTAGTGACCAACGTTTGGTCTCTGTTTGAATGATGATCGCCATTTTAAAATTTTAGAGCAGGTGAGCTTTGATAGTAAGATTGTGGTTATGAATACGAAAGATAAATATTGTGGCTTAAAGATGCAAGTTGACAATTACAGTTGTGGATTGTTTGTTTGAAACGTTACATGGGTACCTTGATTTGGGACCGTAAAACCGCTGGGAATGCCTGGGCTCAGTCCGGGTTTCTTTAAAAGATCCAAGACTGGGCCTGGGAAGAAGCCCGGGTTTACAAATATATTGTTGGGAAAAGCCCTGATTTTCCAGGCCTGGCCGGGTACGGGTTGGGTCCCCTTTTTTTTTGTCTTTTAATCTCCCTTTTATAGCCCTAACTTTGATCAAGAAATTAAGTGCTTTGAAGTAAGAACTACAACGACATACATGGCTGTAGAGGGAGCATTGTTTTAAAACCCGGACCAAAGGGCAACCAATTCTATTGCTTGGGTCACGGGTCAATCGGTTGGACCGTTGGTTGGACCAATGATGTCATCATATCAGTATGATAATGCCAGCATATTAAAAAAAACCTTTTTTAATTTATTTTAAGATTTCCATTTTTTAATAAGATAATAACAATTTAATTATTGTCTAACATGATTTAAAGTTCAAATTCAATAACAATTCCAACATAATTTAAGTATTTAATAACAATCCAAAGTCTAAATTCGAACATGATGTATTCATCCTTTACCTATTAAATGATAAAATACATAATAATTAATAACAAAACATTTGGTGCAAGTGTTTTTTCTTTGATTCGTCTCCATGTTGATTGAGCTTCATACACTAGCATCAAAATTCATCACCATCACCATCATCATCATCATAACCATCACCACTATTTACGTAAATTTCAGTAAAAAATAGAAATTATAAGTTAAAACTTGTAATTTAATTTAAAATAGATACTAAGTTGCTTAAATATTTGAAACCAACCTTCTAAACCATCAGTTGAATCATAAAAAGAAGCGTGATCAGCAACTCCAATAGGAATAGATCATTTCTCCATATAAAATTTGTTCCAATTCCTCATAATTAAGTTCAATGACCTCCTTTTCATCGTCAACTATCCAACATTCAGTTTTGTCGATACTTTCATAATCAATAGGATCGAAACTTATTCTCTTGTAACACCTCCTAAAATACCATAATGAAATATTAAAAGCATGACAAGTAAAATATCAAGGAAAATAATAGATAATAACAATAAGAGTGATTGAGCATAATTGAGTAATTGACAATGTTTTATATCTATTTTGCAAACGCAAGTTATAGTGAACATAAACAAGATCATTCAACCTTTGATACTCCAATCTATTCCTCTTTTTAGTATGTATGCGCTAAAAAACACTCCAATTTCGTTCACATCCCGAAGAGCTTGAAGTTTGGCTAAGAATTTTTATTGCAAACTTTTGCAAATTTGGAGTACTATACCCAAATGATCTTCACCGTTCATCTAATTGAAAATTAAACATAATAAATAAATTAGACTTAAAAAACAAAAGAGCTCATAAATTTTATAACTATTACGTACTAGGACGTGTGGTTTTGGCGGTTTCAAGAGCAAGCCCAAGAGAAAAGCTTTCCTCCCGGTTTGAATATAATCTACTCTGTTCCATTAACCTTGTCTTGTTCAAATTAAACACACTTGCTTTACTATCTATAGTATGAAGGAAACCACCCATGACTTCTGGCTTGGCGCAAAAAAATGTTTCGTCATATTTAAAGACAAGATTCAAATAGTAAGCCGCAGCATGGATATCATGGCACAACGTCCTATCCCAGCGTAGCTTAATGATTCGTGTATAAGGCTTGTATAATCTCTTTTTATTCTTAAACAATTTCTTAATTGCATTTTTCGCTCTATACATGCCATCATACACAATCCTATTGCTGGCTTCTCATCTGAGTCAACAATCTGCAACAAGCGCATCAATGGACTCACAACTTTGGATATCTTACCCATATCATCCCAAAAATCGTTATCTAGAATTATGTCAATAACATGTTTGCCTTTATTACTTTTTGCATATCAAGAATCGACAAATGACCTATCTGTCACCATGGCTTGCAAATCATGTTTGTGCTCATGAAGGCTTCTCATTGCAATGAAAGTTGTAGCAAAACGGGTTGCACCCGGATGAACAATTTCTTTCCAACCTTGTTCAATTGATAAATAATAGATGTTGGTCAATTATAAAAAATGCATATTATGTTATGACTTGACACGAACATGAGGTAAAGGTATATTACTTGTCTTTTCCTCAACCAAGCTATCAAGATTGTATGATTATATATAAACTTCGTCACCTCAGAAGCACGTCTCGCAAGATAAACTATGTGATCCATCTCAGCTATGTCTTCTAACACCAAATTTATGCTATGTGCTGCACAGGGTGACCAAGTAATACTCAAATATTTCTCAGACAGCATTCTTCCAACAGCTTTATAATTGGATCCATTGTCTGAGACAAAATAGGCAATACTATTTGGTCCAATCCATAAAGCTACCTCCTCAAACATCTTCAACAATGTCCCAACATCCTTCACAACATCTAAAGCATCAATTGATTTCACAAAACAAACTCCCTTATGAAAATACATCATAAAATTGATCAATGACCTATGTGAATTATCAGTCCAACCATTAGCCATTAAGGTACATCCAACATTTTCCCAAATTTTTCTGTAACTATCAACAAGAAGCTACGCATCCTTCTTAACATCTCTTAACAAATTGACACGCAAACCATGATAATTTGGGTGTTTATACCCAGACCCAATTGCAGTTATAGCATCCACCAAAGGCTGAAGATAAATTGAATTTACAGCATTAATTGGGATGCAAGCATCACAAAATAATCTTGCAAAAGCCATGTTTGCTCTCCACGTTGCATCTTTTCCAGCTAAACAACTCCTAATTGATGGTTAAGATCCACCAATTGTCCTTGGAGCAAAATAGTCACCAACCCTAATAGATTTTTTTCTTTTTGATTTGTCTAGCATTGTACTTTGTTTTTTACTGCCAAACCTACCTTCATTTATGTGAATTTCTGATGGACGAACCTCTTCACTATCTTCATTTAACATATCTCCCTCAAATCCATGTACGGGAGCACCATAGAAAGTATTATACTTACTAGAATCAGCCTTCTCTTTATTCTTTATCCCAATGTCTTTTAGTGGTTCTCTCATCAAGTATTGAATATCAAAAGGAACTTTTAAACAAGCACCAACATCCCCCATTGTTCCAACTAGATGCTGTTTCATTCTAAAAATACATCCTCCTCTAGTTACTTTCCCACAGTGAAGACATTCTAATGTCTTCCTTCCATTTGGATCTACACCCTCAATAACATGTGGCCATGTTATATCAGTCATACCTCTACTAGATTGTGAAGAAGACCTGGAGCCAGATGTTACCATTGTTTATTTTTAATCTTTATCTACCTGTCACACAAGAAATAACAACAATTTAGTATGCCTTTCTTAAGCATGTTAATATATATCTAATATTATTACACTTGGTAACTTGTAGGTGAGAGATGAACTTGAACATTTGCTAGATGATGACAATGACATGGATGATTCTATTTTTAATCTTTATCTACCTGTCACACAAGAAATAACAATAATTTAGTATGCCTTTCTTAAGCATGTTAATATATATCTAATATTATTACACTTGGTAACTTGTAGGTGAGAGATGAACTTGAACATTTGCTAGATGATGACAATGACATGGATGATTCTATTTTTAATCTTTATCTACCTGTCACACAAGAAATAACAATAATTTAGTATGCCTTTCTTAAGCATGTTAATATATATCTAATATTATTACACTTGGTAACTTGTAGGTGAGAGATGAACTTGAACATTTGCTAGATGATGACAATGACATGGATGATTCTATTTTTAATCTTTATCTACCTGTCACACAAGAAATAACAATAATTTAGTATGCCTTTCTTAAGCATGTTAATATATATCTAATATTATTACACTTGGTAACTTGTAGGTGAGAGATGAACTTGAACATTTGCTAGATGATGACAATGACATGGATGATTTCCTAAAATACAATGGGCAGGCAATTTAAAAGACTAATTGTGCTAATTAGTATGACAGATATATTGTACAACTTTCTATGTAGAAGCCTTATCTATCTATTTTGTCCCTTAATAACATCCCGAATTTTGATCACTTTCGCTCTACAGTTTGGATTAATCTGTGAAGGTAAAGCTAGTGGGAACACACAAGAATTTTCTCACTTTATAAACCAAAAAATCATATGTGTGGTCATTTTTAAGTGAATATATATATATATAAAAAAAAAAAAAAAAATAAAAAAAGGTCCCGACATAGTTCTTCAATGCACCTACTTTTGAAATTATTCACCAATCAATTTAACAATTTGACCTGTGCCTTTTGTGCTTGAAACCCACTATAAGGACAACTATTATTCATGTAGAAAATCAACACCAGAATTCATAACTGCATCCGACACCTTTAATTGTTTTTTATCAGCTAGTTTAGGAAATCTATACAGCTCATACTTTCCTACATTTACACATATGTTGTTATACGTTAGCATAAGTTTAGGAGTAATTTAAGTTTCTCAAATCTTTATTTATACGTCCTCTTCTAATAGAAAAGTGTGTGAATCATTTTCTCCATTATTGTTCAAACTTCTATATGGTATCAACTTAAGCCTCAAAAACTCCAACGAGTATTTCCTATCTTTCTTGCTTCCGCCATGGCCACTTCTTCCTCTGACAGTGTTCCAATAGCCATCAATGCCACCTAGGAAATTACTGCACATCTCACACCAACCAACTTCCCTTCATGGCATGCTCAATTCGAGTCTCTCCTTCTCGGCTATAATCTCTTTGGTTATGTCGATGGCACTCATACCTGCCCACCTCTACCGACATCAACTGATGCAGTTGCCATTGCAGCTCATCACCTTTGGTTCCATCAGGACAAACTTATCCTAAGTGCCATTCTGACTTCAGTGTCCCCAACTGTGATGCACTCATAGCAACCTCCAAGATGTCACATCAAGCCTGGATTAAACTAACAAAATTTTATG